TCCTGGAGTATCAGGATCAAGTCCCACATCGTGCTCCCTGCTCAGCAAGGAGTCTGCTTCTCCTGCTGACCTCTCCTCTCTCATGTTCTCTCTCTCTCTCTCTCAAGTAAATAAATAAAATCTTGAGGAAAAAAAAGAGTCAGCTGTATTTAGATCCATATGCAGACACACACACACACATCACCTTTTATATATAGTATCCGTCAGTATCATATTCACTTTTTTAAAATATAGTATACATTTTAAAACATATGGAATTAATCTGCTTTCCCTTCGTGGAAAACACAGGAGAGGCAGGCAACATTCCGTCTACTCCCCACTTTTCCAACAGTCATTCCAACAGCCATTTTAAGTTACAAAGAGTCAAAGCTGGGATCTCATGGGATCAGCCTCCTATGGATTGCTTTCTAGCTTTCTGTGTCCCTGGTTTTCGGAACCCCCCACTATCATCAGCAGTTAAGACTCACATTAGTGAAATTACAGTTATAATTTCCATGCTTGAAATTGACATCGAAGGCCATAATTTCTACGTCAGGGAGGCTATATATTAACAGCTATGCTTAGTTTTGATCTAATACGGTGGGTTTTGTAATGGTCTCCCAAATTCGTCCACATCTTTCTCTTCCCTTTTCAATGTTCCACAGCCAGGATGTGTTTCCCTCCTCCATGAATATTTTGGCTTTCTGTCCCAATTCCTTTATATTCTCTTTGCTTCAAAACATCTCTTTCAACGATTTACATTTGTTCTACATATCCTTTACTCCAACTCTTTATCTAGCACTCCTGCTATGAAGTCCATTCTGACACTAAGAACATGAAAGCCTTCTTTTAGAAATTCCTGAACCACAGGTCACATAATTTTTTTTGAGGAAAGTGTGCACTATGCACTTAACTGATTTACAAATGGGGAAAGCACAGAAAGGAAATTATAAGATTTGTTCTAGGCCATAGATAAAGTTAGTGGTAAGATTGGGACTGTGTCCTCAGACTCTGAGACTAGTTAGTGCCTAAAACCTTAAAACAAAAGTACCTAAGATTAGAAAGACTTTATTTTTTTAAGATTTCTTTATTTAAGTAATCTCTGTACCCAACGTGGGGCTCCAACTCACAACCCTGAGATCAAGAGTCACATGCTCTACTGATTGAGCCAGCCAGGTGACCCTAGAATGACTTTAATTAGTTTTTACTTTCTTAACTTTTTATTGAAGTATGCGATTTGCATAGGATTTTGAATTTAGATTTTCAAGGGCTTCGTGAAACAGAGAAGCCTAGAAATCTGTTAGAAGTAAGACTAATGACCTTGAGACATTACTCAATCCCCCCCATTCCCTTTTTATTTTATTTTTAAAAGATTTTATTTATTTATTTGCCAGATAGAGATCACAAGTAGGCAGAGAGGCAGGCGGGTGGGGGAGGGGGGAAGCAGTCTCCCTGCTGAGCAGAGATCCCGATGTTGGGCTCGATTCCAGAACCCTGGGATCATGACCGGAGCCGAAGGCAGAGGCTTTAACCTGCTGAGCCACCCAGGTGCCCTCCTTTTTTATTTTAAAGACTTACTTATTTGAGAGAGAGAGAGAACACATGCAGGTGCACATAGGAGAGGGGCAGAGGGAGAGTCTCTCAAGTGGACTCTTAAGCTGACTTGGGGCTCGATCTCATGATCCTGAGATCATGACCTGAGCCAGTCCTTAAAGGACTGTGCCATCCAGTGGGGGTGCACACTGCACCCCCACCCCCACCTCCTTTTGAAGCATCATGGAGGGAAATGAATTTCCAAGAAACCTGGGTTTTTCATTTCAGTTATTCCAGAAAAGACTGCCTGGAGCATATCTGATCGCTAGCCAGTCTTCTTTTTGAGAACTGTACCTACAACCTTCCGTTCCCCAATCCAAATCTATAGGTAGTAGGTCTGAGTCCATTCCTGACTTGCTGCATTGGAAAGTCCTGGGTCATGGGACTAGGGATAGGGCCAAGTAAGTTCCTTTTTTCCTCAGCAGGGGGACATCTACTGCTGTTATGAAGTCTATGGCCTTTGTGATTGTTATTTGCTTTTTTTTTTTTTTTAAGTAGGCTCCTTGACCAATGCAGGGTTTGAACTCACAATCCTGAGATTGAGAGTTGCATGCTCTACTGACTGAATCAGGCAGCTGCCTCTAGGTCTTCTTTTTGTTTTTTAAACCATTTCTGGGATTTTATTAAAAAAAAAAAAAAAGGTTACCCCTAGTCTTATGTTCACATAATTTCTCTGTGGGACACATACCTTGTACATAAAGAAAAGGCTGCAGACTGGGTAAAATATTTTCTTGGTCAATGGGTTAGCTGGGTCAATAACTGAGATGTACTTGGATCAGGGCTCTGTTCCGACAGTTATAAAGGAATTAGAAGTACGTCTTAAAAAGAAATCCATAAAAAACAAATTAAAAGTATAATTACAGGGGGGGCACCCGGGTGGCTCAGTCGGTTAAGTGTCTCCCTCCAGCTCAGGTCATGATCCCAGGGTCCTGGGATCATGCCCCATATGGGGCTCCCAGCAGGGAGCCAGCTTTTCCTTCTCCTTCTGCCTTCTACTTCCCCAGCTTGTGCTTTCTCTCTCTGTCAAACGAATAAATAAAATCTTTTTTTTTTTAAAAAGTATAATTACAGAACAAGTACAAATAAATCAGCCAAAACCAGTACTTGGGAACCGACAGGAAAGGATTGGAGTTGAGTAGAGTTAGTCAATGAGGACTTTCTGGAAAAGGTGAGTTTTGAAGGAAGGGGATAAGGAGGATATCCAAGAGGATAAGGAGGTCTTTCCAGCAATAATGCATGACAACAGTAGAGAAGAGAAAATGAGCAAACTGTAAGGGCCAAATGGCGAACAGGTTAGCTTTCTAAGACAGGACAATCTATGTTAAAGGGTAAAAAAAAAAAGTCTAAGGACAGTTTACGGAGTGCCTTAAATGGTTATAAATCAAATACGCTTTAACAGACAAGACGGAGCCTTATGGGTGCTTGTATAATGAGAATAACTCTGTAAGAAGCCGAGATACAGATGGACTGGAATAAAACAAAACTGAGAGAGGGGCGCCTGGGTGGCTCAGTGGGTTAAGCCGCTGCCTTCGGCTCAGGTCACGATCTCAGGTCATGATCTCAGGGTCCTGGGATCGAGCCCCGCATCGGGCTCTCTGCTCAGCAGGAGCTTGCTTCCTCCTCTCTCTCTGCCTGCCTCTCTGCCTGCTTGTGATCTCTCTCTGTCAAATAAATAAATAAAATCTTAAAAAAAAAAAACCTGAGAGAAAAATAGGGAAGCTGCTGCAAAATTTTTCAGGAGAGGGGAAAAAAAAAAAAGGCTGGGTCCTGATGCCAGCTCTGCCATTTATTAGCTGTATGATCCTGGGCAAGTCACTGAATCTATGTGTGCTTGTTTTCTCATCTGTAAAATGGGAATAATGGTGTATGCCTAAAAGAGCTGTTGAGAGGATTAAATGAATTAAAATATGAAAAGTGTCTAGTAAGCACTCAATACATTATTATTCAAATATTAATTTGATTGACATATTATTAAAATTCTTATTTCTATGACCTAAAAGTGGTCTGCATGTAACAAAAGCCTCCATCTCACATCTTAGTTTGAAAGGATTGCCGTTGTTCAGTGTGTCCTAAAGAGGTATGCAGGATTCAGAGGACTAGAAGGGAGGCCCAGTGTCCAAGACAACAGCCACTGGTCTCACATGGCAACTGAGCACCAGAAATGTGGCTAGTCAGAATTGAGATGTGCTATGAATGTAAAATACACACTGGAATACCAAAAAAAAAAAAAAATACACACTGGATTTCAGAGCCTTGGTACAGAAAAAAAATCTCATTTTTCATTTGATTGCACGTTGAAATGATACTTTGGATATGTTACATTAAATATGATGTATCAATTTCACTTGTTTCCTTTTTTTATGTTGTACTAGAAAATTTAAAGTTACTTGGTTGGCTTGATTATGTTTCTGTTGTACAGTGCTGGTCCAGTATATCATTCAGCATTGAGTTTTGGAAATTCAAAGGTTCTACATGAGAAGGTCTATAAAGGAATATGGGGATTATGGATAAATCTCTTGCCCTTGACACTTTAAGAAATATAAATATGTAGTACATATTTATATATAATTAGAACACATTTATGTTAAAATGTATATAACCCCAACTCGTGAGTTATCTACAGCACTGACGGAAGGAACCACAGCTAGTTTAAAGAGGCCATAATTGGTAAAGGTCTTTTAGTTCAAAAAAACAGAAATAAAGATGTAACGGGAAAAAGGTGAAGCATACCTTATTTTGAACATTAAATTATGGAAACAAAAATCTTCCTAACTTCTGAAATCACTACCTCAAAGGTTCAGATCGCACTGGTTTAAGAAACCTGGATTATTAAGGGTTTTCTGACAAATCTTTTCATAACCATCTCCTGAAGTTGCTACTTAAAATAGGAATAATTACTGCCAAAGAGCCTCCAGTCAGGGCTTTCTGCTGATCTGGAGGTAAAAGTCCAATGTGGGATTTCGCTCTGAATTGATATTTTAACATTTTACCCTGACTCGTACCGGCCAGTTGCACAAGCTTCAACTTCAAAATACTGCTGGGGGTTGGAGGGGGTCCTCACACGCCTTCCCTCTGCTTCTCAAACCCTTCTGGGGTCCTTCCCGCCCGCCAGGAGTCGGCACTCCCCAGTGGCGCTGACAGGTGCAGCGCCGCGAGCCGCCTCCCGCCCCCAGCACGCGCCCGCGACCCCGCACCCTCTCCCCAAGCGGGCCGCGCCCTCACCGCTCCGCCCCCAATCCCGGCGCGCGCGCGCACACCGGCGGGGCGCGCCCGGCCGGCGGGGCCGCGCACGCAGCTGCCGCCGCCACCGCCTCCTTCCCTCCCTGCAGGCCCTCCTCCCCTGCCCTCCCCTCCGCCCCCTTCCCCGTAGGCAGCCAGCCCGCCCGCACAGCCTCCCTCCCGGCCCCGAGCGCTCCGGCTGGGTCTCTCCCCCGCCCCCGCCCCCCTACCCCCCCAGGCTCCCGGGTCGCTCTCCTCAGGCGGTCGCCCGCACTCGGTGGATGTGGCTGGCAGCCGCCGCCCCCTCCCTCGCTCGCCGCCTGCTCTTCCTCGGCCCTCCGCCTCCTCCCCTCCTCCTTCTCCTCCTCAGCCGCTCTTCTCGCCGCCGCCGCCGCCGCCTCCACAGCCTGGGCCTCGCCGCGATGCCGGAGAAGAGGCCCTTCGAGCGGCTGCCTGCCGATGTCTCCCCCATCAACTACAGCCTTTGCCTCAAGCCTGACTTGCTGGACTTCACCTTCGAGGGCAAGCTGGAGGCCGCCGCCCAGGTACGGCGACCCTCGGGCGCCGGGGGCGAGCTTCGGGGCAAGCAGTTAGGCCGCGGGCTGGGCGAGGGCGGGCGGGCCGGCCGGCCTGGACGCTGCAGGCCTGGGGTTGGCGAGGCCGGCTCGGGGACAGGCGCGCCCCTCTGGGGCTGCCGCGGGGCGCCCGGGCCGATGTGCTCTGTCCTGCTGGGCTGGGGCCCGGGCCGCGCTGCGGGGAGCAGCGAGGGAGCTGGCGGGCCCTGCCCGAGGGCCCCCCCATCCCCGCAGCCGCAGCGAGCACACCTGTGCGGGGCTTCCCCTCCCCGACCACCCGGCCCTTCCGGGCTTGGTAGTGTTCTGGGCGAGGCTGGAGGCTGTAGGAGGAGGCCAGAGGGGTCATCGGAGTCCACGCTCTTGTCTCAGCCTCCTGACTCAGTTCTTTTCTCTGGTTCTCCCTACGCCCCACGGAGGACACATTGGAAGGGGGCGGTCATCTGGGACTCCGGCCGCCGCGCGTTAGCGAGGAGGGGAGATTCTAGAAGGGGGGAGAGGGTGAGAAGGAGAATGCTAATCCCAGGCAGCCTTGCTGAGTTCTCCCCGCCTGCTCCGGCCCAGGGGCTGGGTTTCCAAGATGATCCGCCCCCTCCCCCTTCCCCTCAAGTGACAGTGCAGCAGTGACTTTGTTCTCTCCTAACCTCTAGAGAAGCTGAAGGAGGACCCCATCTCTGCTTTTCCTCCCCTCTTCCTAGCTTTGCTGCCTGTGAAGCAGGTGGATTTATTGTTACAGCGATGGTTGCTTAGCAGTACTCTTCTCTGAAAGAAGCTGCTAGTTTTAGCATACCACTGTTGAAAATATTCCATTACTCTTCATTGCAGTTTTTGGTGAATCATGCTCCCCCCCCCAACGTTATCTGAAGTATTGTTTGATTTCGGAGACTATTAGTACTGATGCCCTACAAAGGTCCCAAACAATAGACATTTGTGACATACCTTGTTATATGATGTATTATGTGAAGTCTGATGAAAAATGGGAACTATTTAGTAGTTATTTTTCAAGAGAAGAGTGGTAAATATATTGTGTCTTTTTCTACTGTAGTCAGAGAGGAAAAACCAGTAGGCCTCAACCTTAAAGACAGGGTGGATAGAGCAGTAAAATGAAAGAAACGTATAGTGTTGGAATGAATTGAAAGTTTGAAGTTGTCTTTGAAAGCTGAGTACTCAGATTGAAATTATGTCTGAAAGTGTAGAATTAAAAAGTATACTGTCATATATGGAGTGCTTGTGTGAAAACAGGAGGGCCCTAGGGTCCGGCTGCATCACAAGGCAAAACTTACTTACCCCTTGGAAAGTCAAGTGATTTAAAAATTTCCCATTAAGAATGTGAATCAGAATGAGTGTATCTTCAGTCTAAATTAGGATTTGAGAGGGTTATTTCGTAGACTGTTTGTTTAAGCCAAGTGACTAGAGTGTTTGATATATATTGGCAGGGGGCAGATGGGAGGGATTGTGAACAGTAGTGTGTCTTGTGACTTGGCAAACCTTGGGGAAGAAGGACCTGTGATGAATGAGTTCGCATTATGTGAAAAGACTAAGATGTGAAAAAAAATAATTTATTTATTTACCTCATTAGCTGGTGTTACCGGTTCATAATTTTGAGAAATATCTATTTAGGGAAAAATTGCAGGAAAAAAAATTGTCAATAAAGATTTTTAAGTGATTATTAGGAAGTGACGGTTTTATTTAAGTGTTAGGACAGAGCAAGAGGCAATGACATGCTTCTCCTTCCTCCTTTTCTCCTTGTTTTTCCAAAGTGATGAGAAATATGTGGAAGGCTGCTTCGGGCCATTGAGGGAGCACATGGTAATGTACTAGACATGAACAGGGAATTGTTAATTTGGTGTAAGGAAATAAATCTTTTTTAGTAACAGGAGCTTTTCAAAGCAGTTGTTTCCAGAAATTCTTTTCAGGCTAGAGGGCAACACAAATGAAAGATGGTAGTAGAGTGAATTCTAACAGGTTTTATTAAAGAATGATTGCACTTTTTAATTGTACACATTGCCACCTTTGGAAGAATAAAGGAATTCAGGTTGGTGAAAAGTTAACATTACTAAAAAAGCATATATTCATATTTTTGAGATCCATGATTTGGAGCAGTAAGTCTAAACTGTGGCATTATAAGGTATCTTATTGTGGAAATCTAAAAATGTGGACAGGATTGTATCTCTAGAAATCTAGATTTATAACTGGTATTGGGTCAGTTTCCTAACAGTTGGAATCATATTACACAAAGTATACAAATTGCTTGGTTGCTTGAGTTGCAAAATTTTATGATAAGCCCAGAGTATTTGTACAGGTTACATATTAGAAACTTAGTGGATTTTTAACCTGGTCTGGGGTGTGGACTCCTGGGGAAGGTGAAGAAATTAGTCAGTGTGCACTGACTTTATAAGTAGTTGTCTTTTACATAAGTGTGTGTGGTCTAGGTCAGCAGGTTTTGCAAAAGTGCTACCATGGGCCTAGAGAAATGGGGCATTGCCACCCCTCCTGTGCACTCCCCCCTTTACATCAGGATATTTGAGAGCAATGGATTTTTGTAGCTATTTTGAATTCTGATACTCTTGCTTTGTGGATAATTAGTTAAAAAATAGATAAGGTTTATGTAAGTGGCTACAATGCCTTGTTATGAGTGCATTGTGGTTTATACAGTAATTGGACTTTCTCTTATGGAAATATTTAGCCTGAGCCAAAGAAATTAACTTCATCCTTCAAGGCCAGAAGTCAGGATATAGTAGACAATCCCTGGCCTTTGCCAACAAAATATTCATGTTGGTGATGACTAAATTGGCACTTAGAGGAGAGTTACAGATATAGTAGTTTGTTTGGCAGGCTAAAACTTGGCACCTAAATGGATGTTATTGTCAATCCTGTGTTATGGAATTTTCTGCCCAAATTTTGCATATTTTCTTTCTGTTTTTATTTATTTATTTATTTTTTAAGATTTATTTGTTTATTGGAGAGTGGGTAGTGTAAGTGTGCAGGGTTAGAGGGAGTGAGAGAGAGAAACTTGAGCAGATTCTGCACTGAACGTGGAGCCCCACATGGGATCGATCTCCTGACCCCAAGATCATGACTTGAACGGAAATCAAGAACCCATGCTTAACTGACTGAGCCACCTAGGCACCCCTTGAGTATTTTCTATGCAGTCATTTTGGTTGTTTTTTTATTACTTAAAGAAGTGGTAAAATTAATAATTTGTGCCACATTTTGCTAGATCACTACATGGTCTTGAGAAATTAAATTTGAAAGATTGATGATAAATTGAACTTGTTTAGATCTTCTATTGTTTCTTGAAATGTATGTATGATGAAACACCTCAATATAAGAAGCTTTTATATGTTAAGCTTTATCTACTATCATCTGGCAATGAATTTTCCAGTGAATTTTCCAGATAAATGAATCTTACCCTTTGAGGCACTTAGACTTTAAAAAATATTTACTGATTTGGATGGAAATATTCCAAAAATGTATTATTTTTTTAAACTCTAGTTCCTTACAATCGAGTCTTGTTTCTTTTCTTCTTTTTAAAAATACTGGACATCATTCTGGATATCTGTCATTGATACCTATAACCACAGATTACCCCAAACTGGGCACTATAATTTGTTAGTTTCATATTTGTTTGTTTTTCTTACTGTTGGGTGATTACTTCTTGCTGCTTATTGTGCTTTGTTGCTGCCTATTGTGCAATTTATTCCCTCTTCTGTCTTACTGAGCTTGATCTGAAGAGGTCTAAGTAACCAGAAAAAAGCTTGTGTGGCCTTAAAAAGAAATTTCTAAGTGTGGGTTTGACGGACTCTCTTCTGAGTGAAGGGAATGAGCTTTATTGTATGGACTTTGTATCATCTATTCTGGCTTTTAAACAGGCTCTTTTTTCTTTTTCTTTTTTTAACTTCCTGGTTCTGGATAATTGATATTGTCCATCAATACAGTCTGGACAAATGTGATCTTGAGTAGTAAATTATGAAGCTTCTCTGAACTTTGCTACATAAATGAGCCTGTTCTTATTGTAAAGTAGATCTTATTCTAATCTGTATGTGAGTCAGTGGCAAAGGACTGAGTCTTTTGATAGCTCTCTTGTTAACTGAGATTAATTCTCCAGATCTTAGAGATACAGTTTTGAACATCATTTAAGTATGTAGCTCATAGTTTATTTGGCCACTTGTAATCACTTTAAAAATTTACTTTAAATTAGGAAATACTTTAGAAATACAGAAAAGTAACCCACCACACAGATTTAGCATATATTAAAGTTTTCCCCCATTTGCTTCAGACTGCGCCTGATGTTTTTTGGGAAATAAAATGTCACAGATACCACTGAAGTCCATTTCCATCTCTTCCTACCCCCACTCCCAGAGGTAACTTCTCTGTAGGTAGGTGAGTATTATGCCTATATATGTAGTTTTACTGTGTATGTAAGTAGCCATAAGCAATAAACAGCAATGTTCTGTATGTTTAACATTTTTACATTTGGGGTGCTACATTTGACTTTCTGCATCTTGCTCTTTTCAGTGTCTCTTTTGTTAGAAAACTTGGCTCAGTTTGTGTTTACTAATTAATTGCTCCTTATTGTCTCTAGAAATTACAGCCCTATTCCACAAAGACAATGATTATTTCAAAATTTTAACGATGAAGTTGCTTGTAAGGCAAAGTGACTCAGGCTTCAGACTGGTGTTTGGAGTTGTCACACTGGAGATTTCCTTTTACTAAAATCTGAGGGCTTTGGTAATCACAGAAAAGCTTCTTGGGTCTTATAGTACCTGTAAGATGTATTTCTGAGTGATCATAATAAAGACTCATTCAGGGGAAAAAAAAAAATCTCACATTGCTGCCTTCCTAACTCATAGGAAACTTCCATTGTAAAATTGTTACCAGCGGTCAAGCTGCCTCTTCAATAGAGCCATTACTTGGTGTTTGGTTGAGTTGCAGTGCAGTCTGTACGGGCTCTGAGAGGACTTAACCCTGGGTTTGAAACAAGGAAAGGAAACACTGTGTTCCATTCTTTAGTAGCATCAAATGGAGATGTTGAAAGTGAGCTTGTTATCTACAAGATATATATATGCCTACTTTAACATTTTGCTTCTATTTTAAGCTTGCAAACTGTGAAGATCTTAATGCTGAAATTCCTTTGAATTATTACCTGTATTTTTGGTAGTGGAAAGTATCCCTAATGGTGATGTTAGATGTGAGAATTCATGTACTGAATCATCAGGTCAGTGCTATTGTGGGGAAAACATAAAAAAGAGCAGTGTTACAGTGTGGCACTGAAGTACTTAAATCTATGTAGGTATTTAAAATCTGTACATGTATGCTGACCTCCGAAGTACTATATAATGTAGCACAAAGCTTTGAAATTTTCCTGTCATTCTGATAGACACTTTATAAACTGTTAGGTGAATGCTGTTAGATGATATTTGGAGGAACATCTTTATGATTACAGCACATTTAATCTTGGTCTCTGTGTATGCCTTTTTTTTTTTTTTTTAAGTAAACTCTGTGCCCAGTGTGGGGCTTGAACTCACAACCCTGAGATCAAGAGTTGCATGCTTTACCGCCTGAGGTAGCCACATGCCCCTCTGTGTGTGTGTCTTAATAACAATATCTATTAACTGATTACTGTGAATCAGGTACTAAGTACTAAAACAAACACTTTCTATCCTGTTTAAAGGACATGGTTAAGATGAGGCAGAGTATACAGTGAGATTTTTAAAAATTTGAGTAGCGTTCTATTACTAAGATAAGTATTTTTATTCCTTTGGTTCTTCCCTCCCACCCTTCCAGAAATGGCAGCGTCTTGGAAAAAAAAAATTATTAGCTATTCAACAAGCAGCTTAACTCAGTAGTATAAACAGGTGGGTTTCCCCTAAATACAGGAGGAATTAGAATGTACTTGTAAATGGATGTTGTAGACTGTGCCTTTCCAAAGTATGCAAACTCTTTCCCTCAGAATGTTAAGTAGTAGTGAGGTGAATGTCAATTGGCGTATGTAGTGTTGTACAGCTCTCTTGACATTGGCAGATTAACTGCTTAAATTCCCTGTAGATGTTGTTGGATGAAAATATGCTCGCCTCAATAGAGATGAAGATGTGTAACTAAACTGCTGTTATTATCCTGTTGGCATAAACTTCAAACTCTGGAAGGTTTTTATTCATTTTTACTTTTTGGAGATACCTCCCTGCAGCCCACCCCAGCCTCATTAAGTGCTTCATTTCTCTGTGTTGCTGAATTTTTTAAAAGTGAATTTATAAATAGGCACAGGGATCTTTTTTGCTTTATTTGTTCAAATGCAGTGCTATAAATGGCCAGTTGGGACAGAAAGGTTTTGTTACTATTTAGGAATGTTCTTGATGAAATAAACGGTGTGAAGGAATATTACCACTTACAAAAATTATTTGTTTATTTATATATTTAAAGATTAGTTTAATTTATTTTTTAATTAAAGATTTTATTTTTAAGTAATCTCTGTATGTAACATGGGGCTGGAACTCACAACCCCAAGATCAAGAGTTGCATGCTCTATGGACTGAGCCAGCCAGGTGCTCCTGCCACTTAAAAAAAAATTTTTTTAAGTTCATTGAATTACATTTTTGTTTAGAAACAGAAAGATTTATGAAAAAGGATTTTTTTTTTTTTTTTAAACTAAGCTCTACACCCAGTGTGGGGCTTGAACTCATATCCCCAAAATCAAGAGTCTCATGCTCTACCAACTGACCTAGCAAGTCTCTGAAAAGGATTGTTTTTTAATGAGCCAAAATAGTTTCACATTATATGTTAGCAATTTTTACAGGCTTACTAATATGTATCTGTAACTTAGGTAATTTTAGTTTGAGATTAATCGTGTTTATTTATTGGTTATTAATAAAATGATTACTCTTTGGTATAGCTTTTTCATATAGACATTATATTACTCTTGTGTCCTTACCTGGTTCTGTGTTCTGTTAGTGATCTCGAGGCAGTATTGACCTACTGTGGGTTTTGTTTGGACTGCACAGTGTTCTTGCAAATTTTGTGTTAGTTGCCATCAGTTACAATTTGGGAGATCGTACATGAAATCTGAAATTTGTGGCTTTTTTTTTTTTTTTTTTTAAATATCTTTCTGTCCAGTGTGGGGCTCGACTCAGACCCAGAGATCAAGAGTTGCACATGCCCTACCAAAAGAGCCAAGTAGGAACCCCTGTGGGGTTTGTTTTTGTTTTTTTGTAGTTGGAAGATCTGTCAATATGGAGTTTGCTTTTCAATATAGCAGTAATTGGTTAGCTCCAAGAAATGACTACTTCCCCTTCCTTTATCCATAGCCTTCACCTGGCCTACTCTACTCACCTGCTTGGCTGGCCTCTGTAGACATTTGTTTGTGATTTAGGGCATCTGTACTTTTGTTATTTTATTTTTAGATTTTATTTATTTATTTGAGAGGGAAAGAGGGTGTGTCTGCCCGTGAGCAGGGAGGGACTGAGGGGGAGGGAGAGGCTGAAGGGGATAGAAAAACTATTTTCTTCAAAACTGCCACATTCAGATCTAGAAAGATCTGAAGCGCACTCCACCTTGAGTAGGGGAGCCCCATGTAGGGCTCCATCTCACAACCATGAGAGCATGACCTGAACTGAAACCAATGAAACCAATAACCGAATGAGCCACCCAGGAGCCCCAGATTTTTGTTATTTTAAATTCAGACCATTCAAATGAATGGTCTGAAAATGAATCTGAGGTTCTGTTTAAATGCAGCAAGTATATAAAATCAAGTCTACAACCAAATAGAAAAGTGGGCAAGGGTTATAAATGAACAATTTGCAGAGAAAAAGCAATGGCTAAAAAAAAAAGGGGGGGAGAAAGAAACTAAGTAGAGAAGATGCTTACTTAACCAGTGCTACTATTAATCAGGAAAATTCTAATTAAAGCAATGGTGGAATAGAATTTAATACCCATCAGATTGTCAAAGATATTTTAAGTTTTTTAGAGGATGATGAACATGGTATTTCCTTTTTTTTTTTTTTAAAGATTTTATTTATTTATTTGACAGAGATCACAAGTAGGCAGAGAGGCAGGCGAGAGAGAGAGGGAAGCAGACTCCCCGCCGGGCAGAGAGCCCAATGCAGGGCTTGATCCCAGGACCCTGAGATCATGACCTGAGTCTGAGGCAGGGGCTTAACCCACTGAGCCACCCAGGCACCCTGAACATGGTATTTCTTCACTCTTTGCTCATGGGAGTGTTAATTGAAACTACTCTAGAGCATAATTGGGATATTCTTGGTAAAGAAAAATATGCATAAGAAAACATGGACCAAGATATTTGTTACAGTACTATTTTAAAAAACAAAAAAAGTGGAAACAATCTAACTTCCTTTAGGAAGGAAATGGATAAATAACTGGTTTATTTTTATAATGGAATACTATATAGGAGTTAAAATTAATGAATTAGATCTATATCTGTCTACATTTACCCATCTCAGAAACAATGTTAAATGAAAAAAGCAGGTGCAAAGGTATTTGTATAAAACTAAAAACATTGCTTACTGATCTTTATATATGTAGCAGAAGTACTGTATATACATGATAAAGAGCTACATTAGCCTTAGGAGGTGGTTATCTCCATGTAATGAGGAAGCGAGGATGGAGCTTTCATTATATCTATATTTTATTGGGGGGGATCTGAAGTAAGTAAGACAAAATCTTAAAAAGTTTATTTAATCTTGGTGGTGAGTCATTAGTGTCTGTTATATCCAAAATGTTACTTTGATAAGAGAAAAAAATTTAAAGAGTGTCTTATGAAGTTTTTTTTTTTTTTAAAGATTTTATTTATTTAATTGACAGATAGGTAGAACACAAGTAGGCAGAGAGGCAGGCAGAGGGAGAGGGAGAAACAGGCTCTCCGCTGAGCAGGGAACCCGATGTGGGACTCGATCCCAGAACCTTGGGATCATGACCTGAGCTGAAGGCAGCCGCTTAACCAACTGAGCCACCCAGGCGCCCCTCTTACGAAGTTTTGACATGATTTATGATACCACTTTTCTTCCTCTATCCTTAAAGAAGGTCTTATGATGGGTTTGATGTGTAGGTTGAAATACATAATTAATTGCAACATACAAGAAATGTTTCCTAATTAATTTTTAATTTGGAAAGTTTTAATTGTTTTAAATAAAAGCTTAAGTAGGAAAAAATGCTTTTATTTAGCTCATTGGTCAGATGCTTAAAGTCTAAAATACTTAAGTGTTTATGGTTGCTTTTAATATAATTCGGAAAACGTGAATTGCCTTAGATTACTTAAAACTACTAATTTATTTTTACCATTGAGGTATAAATACTCAGTCTAGGTTTTAGTGATGTCTGGGCTTAAAAAAATGCCCTGTGCCATACATTAGGCCAAGATGAAGATGTACATGTTATTAATCTTGGCTATTCTGACACCGCTGGTTTTTCTTTTCCCCTTAGGTGAGGCAGGCAACCAATCAGATTGTGATGAATTGTGCTGATATTGACATTATTACAGCTTCATATGCACCAGAGGGAGATGAAGGTAAGAGCTGTTTTCCATTTAATTTGCTGTCTCTCTGTGTGTGTCATGTATGTGTGGTGGCATATACATTTTCAGATTAAAGTAGCAGTGTTTGTTACTTTAGAAATAGGAAATATTTTTAGATGTTCGTGGGAAATATTTTAATAATCTGTACTATGAGATAAAGGAGATGCCACATTCTAATTCTACTTCAAACATTAACATATTTTGTAACCCTAGGCAGATTACATTTCCATAAATGTAAAATGAATATAATACCATGCATATAAAGCTAAAGAGTTATTTTTTTTAATTAATTTATTTATTTTAGAGAGAGAGAGAGAGAGAGAGAGAGAGCTTGAGTGGGAGGGGCAGAGAGAATCCCAAGTATACTCTGCACTGACCGTGGAGCCCGACTCAGGGCTTGATCCCACGACCCTGAGGTCACAACCTGAGCTGAAACCAAGAGTCACTCGCCCAACTGACCACACCACCAAGGCACCCAAAACTGAAGAGATATTTTTAAAATAAGTGCTTTGAACATGAAAGACTGGTTTATCAAGGTGGCTTAGTTCATATGTGGTTTTCTTAAAGATTTTTTTTTTCCCTCTTGAATAGTAGATTGAAATTGGAATAATGAATTTTATTCACAATTGAGAGAAAAATATTTGTCCTGCGGGATGGAATGTGGAGGTTAGAAGCTAGATGACCAAGTTAGTTACAAAGTAAGAAAATGTTAAAAGGAAATATATAGAATGCCTGGGAACTCAATTAGCATCTTCAAAATGAGAACTATTTTAGACCTTGTAATTGTAACAATGAATTAAATTGAGTAGTCTGTTTTGGCCTGAAATCTTATTCCCACATAAGCTCCATTTTAAAAAGTTGTCATGTTTGGCATGAAGTCACAAGTGTATTAATACTGGAACTGAAGTGCTTTTTACTTTTGACAGAATGATCTTTTGGTTAGTCTTCACTACTATGAGACTTCTGTTAGAAAATTTTTGGTTTGCTATCAGGGTGCCTGGCTGGCTCAGCTAGTAGAGCATGCAGCTCTTGATCTCAGGGTTGTGAGTTCAAGCCCCACTTGGCATGTAGAGCTTACTTTAAAAAAAAAAAAAAAGGAAAGAAAAGAAAAAATCTTTTCATTTGATATCAAATAAGTTAAGAATTTGGCCTTTTAGTTCACATTTTTTATTGCTCTTACCCCTCTCCTTTACACTGAAAAGAAGCATACAAGTAATATTTTAAGGCCGAGCTGTATTTATTTCATGAATTTTTCTTAAATTATCTTGTCCATAGAATCACCCCCCCCCAAAAAAAAAGTAGCAGTTGAGCAGAGTATTGCCAAGAAGTACTTATTGTTCGATTGTTTGTAAATGAGATCAAATTGCTGTGATTTTAAGCTAGAGGAACAGATCCTTCAAATGGACTTCGGATGAGTGCCAACATTAAAAAATTGTTTGGGTAAATGAGAGAGGGGTTATTTAATTTCTTTATCTGTGAAGAAAAATGTAAGCATTTTAGCCAAGCGTATCAAGGCAAGCTTGCTCTGTTGTAGGTAGAGAACATTTAAATTTGATGTAGTTTTAAAATGGTGCCACTATAGATAGGAAGAGATTGTAAAATATACTCACACCCTCCAGTTGGCATGGTTTCAGCTCAGGTTTGTTTTTATCTTCCTCTACTAAAATGCCAGGGAAGAATTCAGAGAACTCAAATGCTTTGAGTATGCATAACTGAATGGTGCCAAGCTCCTAATAGTTAGAATAGCAGTGTTTGTGTTCTAAGAGGGTCAGAAGAGAAAAGAAAGCTTGTAGAAGTGAAGGGGATTTGGAGAGAGATTCAGATAAAACATTACTCTTTCTTAGGTACATAAAATATTTTCTTCAAAACTAGCTAAAGGGTATTTTTCAACTCATTTCTCCTACAGCAATGGGAAAAACCTAGAGTCATGTGTAAGCTCGTCTAATTTGAGAGTATAAGAGAATGGGAAATTGTATTAATGTGGCATTTTAAGGTTTCAGTCAGAAACAGTTTGGCCTTCCAGATACATACACAGTGTAATTTTATCCTTGGGCATAGTAGCATTTCTTGATTTTTACTGTATGGAAGAGTACAACATGTTGTTCTTTAGAAATTAGTAGTTGCAAATTTGATTACCAGCTCCTTCCAGGGTGGTATGGTTTGACAGGGGAATAACTGAGTCAATAGGAAAGGTACCATTTTTTAACTCGGCTGATCTCCTTTAGTACAGTACCTATTAATAGTTATGATTGCCTTCTGTAAGACCGAGTTACATATGTGTAGCCACTAAATCTTGGTACTTTACAGTAAAATCAGAAAGTCGTTCGAAGGCATGAAATTGTTGCTTCTTTGTGTAAATTTTTAATTGATGAAAAAGAAGCTGTCTTGTGGTTTGTGCAGTGACCCAGAAAGACCTATTGGCGTGTGTCTCTTTAAACTAAGGCACTGCCTTTTCAACAAAAATAACTTATTTTAAAACCTAATTGAGATCTTTGTAATATTTAAAAAATGAGAACTCAGTAAGAAAAACGGCTGAAAACTGTTTTTTTACTGTTCTGCACTTCAAGGGTTGGTGAAATCACTAGCACTTAAGCCCCAGTGCAAGGAGTGCACCTCCCTACACAGTGAGTGCAGGGGTTAGTATTGTCACCAGCTTCCGCAGGAGTGCCTGAACTCAGGTCCTGACAGGTAACGAGACTTTTAATTTATCATTAATAGATGGCTTGGGCATAACCACACGGACATTGATCACTTGAAAGTTTTGTATTAACTTTTCCCTTAGTATACTCTCTTAGGTATGTTTGTAGCATTAGCTGTGTAAGGAAGAAATTTTCCCTGTTCCATTCAAAGTTCTGATTCTAGCCTCAGATCCACCAGCATCACTCTGCCTTATCCATGCAAGGCATGTAAATCTTAACACGTTTCTTCTTGAAGCAGAGGTACATTTTTCAGTGTGCAGATGAGTGCATGTATGTGTTTAATGAGAGGATGAAGCAGCTAGTCAGAAATACTGCCAAATAGTAACAATTTTGAGCAAAACTATTAACTTGAGAAAAAGGAATCGTTCTCACACTCAATCAGAGGCCTTTATCATGAGCTTCAGTAGGCCTTTATAAGCCCATCAGTGATCTATATTCTGTCTTCATGCAGTTAAGTGTAGATTAGGAATAGCAATAAACCACCATCTCTTTGCAAGAGTTGTTTTTGTCATCATTCTGAAAATACATGCATGACTAATTAAGTGCTAGCTCTGAAATGTGGAAAATTGAAAGAGAAGAGGAAATACCCGTTTCTGATACAAATGTATTGGAATATGATGCAGAATTTCATAAGGAAATTTTAAATGAAAGGAATCAAAGTATAAGTTTAGTAATACAAAAACAATATAGGGTAGGGGGCCTCAAACCAAAGTTATGGTTGGGATTAAGGAAATTACAAACACGAGTGAATTGGACTGGATGTAGCAAAGCGAGAATGTTGGGACAGAGGCCAGACCAAAGAAAGTATTAAAGAATACTTAAATGTATTCAGATTTTAAAGAACTTTTCAGGCCAACATTTTTTTGGGCTATAGTGACATCTGTTGAATTTGCAACCTACCAGGGAACTGTGTGTTATGCATATTTTTTATCACTTGGACATGAAGATAGGACTTGAGCATAGCTGTCTCGTTAAAAAGAGCAAAAAGCCCGGGGCGCCTGGGTGGCTCAGTGGGTTAAGCCGCTGCCTTCGGCTCGGGTCATGATCTCAGGATCCTGGGATCGAGCCCCGCATTGGGCTCTCTGCTCAGCGGGGAGCCTGCTTCCTCCTCTCTCTCTGTCTGCCTCTCTGCCTGCTTGTGATCTCTCTCTGTCAGATAAATAAATAAAATCTTAAAAAAAAAAAAAAGAGCAAAAAGCCTTTTGAGAGTTTTCTAGATTCTTAATTGAAACTGGCATATAATATGCTATATTACTATTTAATATATTTAGCAGATTATTTTAGTTTGCTGTACATGTTCCAGTATATCCTTTTAAAAATTCAGAATACCTCTTTTCAGGAAGCTTTTAAAGTTTTTTGGGCACTACAGTGGCCTTATTTCTGAGCTCTTGTTTTTATTTTGCCTCCACTTTATTTACAAGTTCTGAGTATATTGAGTTTTGGGGATTTCAAACATAAAGTCTATTATGTGCTATTGTTCTTCGTGTTAATGCATGAGCTAACCACTACTCCGGGCTATATTGAGGAACCAGGTGTTTTCCCAGGTCTTTGGTAACTTTCAGGGCATTCTGTTTTCTGAGTTAAATGGTGATTTTAGGGGCACCTGGGTGGCTCAGTTGGTTAAGTGTCTGCCTTCGGCTCAAGTTATAATCCCAGGATATTGGGATTGAGCCCCATGTCAGGTTCCTTGCTCAGCGGGAGCCTGCTTCCCCCTCTGCCTACTCCCCCTGCTGTGTGCACTCTCTCTCTCCCTCTCTCAGTCAAATAAATAAGACTCTTTTTAAAAAATGCTGATTCTATTTTTCCTACTAATAAACTTTATTTTTCAGAGCAGTTTGGAGTAAAAAGTACAGAGATTTCCTCCGTATTCCTTGTCCCACCCACCCTTCTCTTCCCTCATTATCAATATCCTGAACCAAAGTGGTACAATTGTTACAGTCAGTGAAACTTACCTTGGCACCTCATTAACAAAGTCCATAGTTTACATTAGGGTTCACGCTTGGTGTTATACATGCTGTGGGTTTTGTTTTGTTTGTTTTTTATTTTATTTATTTATTTGACAGAGAGGTTCAGTGAGAGAGGGAACACAAGCAGGGATTGTGGGAGAGAGAGAAGCAGGCTCCCTGCTGAGCAGTGAGCCTGATGCGGGGCTGGATGCCAGGACCCTGGGATCAGGACCTGAGTTGAAGGCAGACGCTTAATGACTGAGCCACACAGACACCCCTGCATATAAAGTTTAGAATCAGTTTTTCAGTATCCATGAAATAACTTTCTGGGATTTTTATTGGGATTGGG